GTCTAATTTAGAATCTTGGATTTGATGCTGGGCTCCCTTCTCCCTGTCCCAGGGCCTACCATGGGTAGAATGAAATCTGCTATGGATCAGGATTGGCTGGTTCTCCTGAGCCATATTCATTAAGATACCCTGATAAAGGTTTGGTGCCTCCCCGCCCTTCCCCCTCCCCCCCCATACCCTTTCTCTTCTCTATTGTTCCTGTACTGGGCAAGAGGAGGGCTGGTGGGGCACTTGTGCCTCCACCTGATGTCTGGGAGGGGTTGGGGAGCAGGATTCTAAGACCGGAAGCAGCTCTTCCCTCAGAAGAGCCTAGCATAGACAGGTCCTCTATGGTCATTGTCTTCAACCCCTTCTCAGGCTGCAAACTGGCTGCCTGTCATTTAGTTTGTCCCCTTCATGGCACCCTCTCCTCTCCTCATGCAGTAGATTGGGTGCTGTCCCAGAGTTAGGGACCTACTTTCCCACAAAGGCGAGTTCTAAGCTGGCCCTGAGAGCAGCAACAGTACTCTTTGTTGTTTGTCTAGCTACCCACCTCTCAAAGTGCATGGGATCAGTTCTGGGGCTCAGATGAGGAAACTGAGGCTCTTAAAGGGAAAGCGACTGCCATTACTGGTATGTCCAGAAGGCAGTTGCTCTTCAAGCCTGCCTGACCCAGCCATTCAGCATTGAGTAACTGCTGGTCTTTAGTCTCTGTGGCAAGGAGTCTGTCCCTGGGCCAAAAGAGGAGAGAAGGGCGGGGGTTTCCTTGTCTGGTCATGCAAGCTTTGGTTTTGCAGATTCAGTCTTGTGGCATTCTGCCTCAATGCTTACAGCTGGCCCCTGCCACCAGGCAACGAGCCTGTTTCCTTCTGCATAAAAATCAATCCAAGGTTGGGGTGGTCAAGGCAGGTCAAGGTTGAGTCTCCTCTGTGAATATCTTTATGTCATAGTCTGTTTGCATGTGATGGTCAATTGGCTGTCCTAACAAAAACCTTCATTTTATCCATGGTCTGCCAGAGAGGAGAGCAGACTGAAGCCCAGCTATACGCTTGGAAACAGGATTTGAAAATTGATCTTTGTGATTTCAGATCTGTTTGTCTCCCGTTCTGATGCCACACCATAGGGTACATATGCCTCAGACTCCTGATGAGTGTGCAGGTGGGGTGCTGTGGCTGCTGTGGCTGCAGGGACTGCAGGCTCAAGAAGCAGCTCCTGGCTTAGAGCATGTCTGCGTGCACTGATCTGAACTTTGGTCCCAGGAGCCCCACTCCTCCATGGTGCCCCATCCCTGTGAACTCCTTTTTTGAGCTAGGGAAATGGCTGCTTGTATTCTTTTCCTTTGGCCGAGGCAGCTGCGGCCTAGCTTTACCTCTCCTAGGTCTGGGTTCACTCCCAGCAAAGCCCTGGCAGATGGCTGCATTGGTTTCCCCTGCTGCTGGCCCCTTGGACTCCATGTTAACACATTAGGCACATAGGCAGGCAGGGGTCAAAGCTCCTTCAGACTCACTGGGATCATTGGTTCCTGGCAAAGCCCTTACTGCAACACTGTGAGGTAAGAAGAATTGCCAGTTTACTAATGGGGAAACCAAGGCCGAAAGAGTGAGGGCCTGCCCAGGGCTGCAATTTTAAGACCTGTGTGGTTCTCCTCTGCTAGGTGTGGGCAAGCCTTCAGGAAGGGGATGGTCAGGGCAGGCTTTCCTGAGGGAGTGGGAGGAGGCAGATTGCCACAGGACCCCCAGGCTTCTGCCTGGAGTTCCAGGCAGCCTGGCCATCAGAAGGTCCTCAGCCCGCAGAGCTGGCATGTGATGCCAGTCCCTGGCCCAGGTGCAGGTTACCCCAAAGCCTCTCTCGAGAAGGGTTAGTCTCTATATCTTCGTGAGGATGTGTAGGTGATTAAATACCCGGGATAGTTTTATCTTGTTACTGTCCACCACAGCCATGCTTGGAGTGGTGATACTCATGCGATTCCTAAAGCATGGGCCTCAGGAACCTGGTCCTCCAGCACACCATGCCTCCGGACAGGCTGAGCTTGGCCACATTGTGCTGATGGAACCCCAGGCCCTCTCAGGTTGGAGTGAGCTGGAAGATGGGCCTTTGTCATTGGTGAAAGCCCTACACTCTCTTGTGCCACACAGCAGCAGGCTGGCCTGGCCACAGTCCCCCTGGTTGTGAGATCCTGCCCCCGTCCTGTCTCACTTCCTTGTTTCCAGCCTACCGAGGGCCTCTCAGTACCCTGGCTTTTCTTTTCCCCAGTGTTCCTTGAACATTGTTTTCCCATGGTTGTGAGTGGGTGATGAGTGCTGGGTCGTGGGTCTCTGGAAGCAGGGTGCTACTCTCCTGCTCTTCCAAGTAGTTCTCCTCTCCTCTCCAAGCTCCCAGCTCCTGGGAGGGTCTCTGTCCCTGCCCTTCCTGTTCTACTGCAGTTCTGACCCAGACAGCTGGGGTGGCTCGGCCTCCCCCTCCCCCCAACTAAGGCAGAGGCCATGCCTGTCCCAGGGAGTCTCCTCGCCTGATGGCAGTCCCTGGGGGACCAGTCCTGGCTCTCTTAGGAAAGGAGACCCTTTCTGTGTTTGTCTGGGAGGCAGGAGGATGGGAAGTGGGGTTGGGAGGTGACATAGGATATGACTTTTAAGAACGTAGTAGAGCATCTCACCAGGCGTTACATCCTTTTTAGCCTGCTGTTGCCTTGATGCACTTGGAAGGCATCAGGACCAGTCTGGCACTTCCTCATGTGGGGGAAGTATAAGGGATCAAGTGTGGCTAAGCGGGAGCTGGGGAGACTTGGACACCTGGCCTGGAGCTGCTCTGTTGCTGCTTGGCCTCCCTGGGTCTTGTCTTAGACAGGAGCCCATTCTGCCTCCAGCCTAGTCTCAGGGGAATGTGCCCAGGAGCACAGGACAGGACAGAAGTTCTCCTGGGCCTGCTGGCAGTGTGTGGGGTGTGTGTGTGTGTGTGTGTGTGTGTGTGTGTGTGTGTGTGTGTGCTTGCGTGTGCATGCACATGTGCTCGTGCACCCACACAGGGCTCCATGAGGCCTGGCCCCAAGCTTTTAACTGACCCTCTAGCTGCCTGCTGAGCAGTAGGCACGTCCTGGACTACTTCTAGTGATAGGCGGTCAGCTGAGAGGAAGGGCCCAGGCTGTGGAGCATGCAGGCCCTGGCATAGATGCATTTGTGTGTGTGAGGTTGTGTGCCTTTGTGAGAGGTGTGGGAGGGAATGACAGCAGCTCTGCACCGGAAAAGTGTGCTGGTTTCTGTTTCAAAGGGCAGGGTTTGTGGTTATTCTGCAGTTTCTGATCTGGGCATTTCCCCTGTTCAGCTCCTCCTTCCATCCTTGGAAACTATCTTCTCAGGCTGGGTTTTTGTGACTCAGTTCCCCCCACCCTCCCTGTTTCTACCTGAGTGTAACTCCTTGTTTCTAAACCCTCCCCCGCTTTTTGTGGCCCCTTCCCCCACCCGTGTGCCTGCTTTTTTCATTTGTTCATTCAGTCCTTCAGCAAGCCTGGCCTAGGGGGAGATGAGGAATGTTCTCTCTCTCCCTCCTCTCTCTCTCTCTCTCTCTCTCTCACACACACACACACACACACACATATTGCCACGAGGAGTCATGGGTGTGATTGCTGTAGGATTCCAAGTTGGGTCTTTGGAGGGAGACGATGGAGCCTGGGAGGTAGACAGTCCATCCTAGGGCCTGGGACGCAATGGGTGATAAGAAGCACTGGCCATTCTTGCGCTTGGTCCAGCTGAGTTTAGATGGAGCAGAAAAGATGGGAGGGAAGAAGCTGGGGGTGTAAATCACTGGGCCCCACCAAGAAGGGCCTTGAAGGCCAGAGAAGGAGCATGTTCTCCTCAGTGAGCAACTTTGGGAAGGATCAGAACAATGTTATTTTAAGGATTCAGAAAACTTAGGAAGGGTGGCTCATGGGTAAAGAGGACTTGGGGGTGAGGGCAGGGGTTTCAGCAGGAGGACCAGGCCTAAGGGGTTGATGAAGGCAAGGGAGCAGGGAGTGAGGTCCAGGTAGAACCAGTAATGCTGTGATGGGAGCAGCTGGGGTTGGGGCTAGAAGCAGTGCCTCTATTTCAGGTGGGATAGATGAGGCACACCTGTGGCTGGAAGGGGAGGAAGAGGGCCCGGTTCTGGACCCCTTAGGGCATTCAGCCAGAGTGGTGTACAGTTGGAGCTGGGAGGGCACTGGGGTGGACTGTAGTGTGCTAGAGCTACTCCGGGCTCCAGATCTTCTGGGCCAGTCTGGGTTGAGAGCATTTGAAGGGGCTGTAGTGCCAGGGCAGTGCTCAGGAAGAGTCCTCTCTGGTGGTAAGCCAGGCTTCTTCTGTTTGAAGAGATCTTCCCTAAAGCCGTCTCTATCTGGCTTAGAAAGTCTGCCCTCTCCAGGGTCGCAGCCAGCACCGGGTGATCATGTGGGTGTGTGGTGGGAGGCAGCCCTTCTCTGTGCTGCGCAGTGCTAGGGCCCTCTCCAGGCCTGGGGCTAGAACCTGTGCCCCAAGCATACTTTGGTGAGGGAGCAGAGGAAGGGAGCTTGCATTGAATGAGCTCCGGTGTGCCACATACAGGGCTGGGCAGTTTTGGCTCTTAGGACTTTTGATCTTACTAGCACCCTCACTGTTACTTGTTACCTGTGTTAACAGATGAAACAGTGGGGTCAGAGCGTTTGTCATTGTGCTGAGGTCACACAGCTGGTGGGAGGTAGAGCTGGGATTCTAGTTCAGGCAGTCTGATCCCAGAGTCCATGTATGTTTTTCTACCACCCTGTTTACTAGAGAAATTCAGTCAAGCCCTTGGCCTTATATATGGTAAAACTGAGACTGGAAGAAGTTAAATGAGTCACTTGGCATCATCTCTCTTATTAGTGGCTGAGGCAGGTTGTCTCCCATTCAGGCCCCTGTGCTTCCCTGATGTGTACTGTGTCAGGGCAGGGGAGCACCAGGCCCTTTGACAGTCAGGATGGGGAAACATCCCTTTGGATACCCACTGCCAGGCCTCTTGCTGAGACTTGCTTGGGCATGTCTTTAGGTGGTGAGCCTTTTCAGGGGTACATCAGTCCCCTGGGCCTGATCCCTCATTTCTCCCATGGATCCTGAGACAATTTGGGTCTTCCTAGCCCTGCCCTGGGACTTTACAGTTTGGTTTGTGTGTTTTGTATCAGGAAATGGTCGTCACAGAAGAACAGCCTTAGTCCCCATTTCTCTCTCTCTTAGAGTCCAGCTTTTTTCCAGGTCAGAGTGACCTGCCTACATTCTCAGCAAGGGAAGGTACGCAGGATGGGGCTGTCTGCTCCCTCAGACAGCTCAGCTTTTAGTAGAGGCCTGTCCTTAGGCTTAGCCCAACTCTCTTTTACCAGCTAGTGGGACTGTGAGCATTCCTGGCTCTGCCCCTGGACAGGGTGTCTCTCTTTGTCATTCTTCCCTGAGGGAGAGTATGGGAATGAGTGAGGAAACCAGGCTGCCCTCATTTTGGTGTGGACTCAGAGACCCCAGCCTGATCTTGGTCTCTTCTCTGTCTTCCTAGTTGACATTCGAGAAATCAAGGAGATCCGCCCAGGGAAGACCTCACGGGATTTTGATCGCTACCAAGAGGATCCTGCTTTCCGAACAGACCAGTCACACTGCTTTGTCATACTGTATGGGATGGAGTTCCGCCTGAAGACCCTGAGCCTGCAAGGTAGGAGTCCAGGGTCTGGAGGAGGTGTAGGGGGTAGTTAGAGGGAATATCTACTGGCTCCTGGCTCGGCAGGAAGTATGTGTCCTCAGTTCAGCTCTTTACCCCTTGATCACAGCTACATCTGAGGATGAAGTGAACATGTGGATCAAGGGGTTAACTTGGCTGATGGAAGATACATTGCAGGCGGCCACACCTCTGCAGATTGAAAGGTAAGAACCACCCCTGATGTGGTTAGGGTTGGAGGCATTAGGTTCTAGGGAGCAGAGGCAGGGACATAGGCCTTTGTGTGCCCGGACACTGCCTACTGACTTCCCCAGAACTAGTCTGGCTGGAGAAGTGTTCTCACTTCAGGCTTCTCTCCCTCCAGGTGGCTGAGGAAGCAGTTCTATTCAGTGGATCGGAATCGTGAGGATCGGTAGGTTTTGAGCTGTGCCTGTAGCCCAGCAGGTGGTTTGGGGCAGCCAGAACAGTAGCCATGTCTCTGAGCAGCTGCTGGAGAACCAGAGGACCCAGGGAGGCCTGCCTTTAGCAGAGCTGGGGGGCAGGCGAGTGGTTCTGGCACAAGTAACTTCCTGCAGAAAGCCCTCTAATGGCCTTGGTGCAGGCTGGTGAGAGAGGCCAGGGACTATAAGCTGTGTGCCCTGCCACTGGGGACAGAGACAGGACATGGAGAACTGGCTCTGGGTGTTCTACAGAGAGGGTCAGGGGCCTGTAGTGTGTAAGGGGGTGCCTTCTGAAGCTCGTGCCTTTGAAGCTGTCCTGTGACAGAGGGGCCAAGGAGAGGTGGAGGACAGAGATCAGGTCATGGTAAGGGCATTTGACTGCTGCTGTGAAAGAGCTGGAAAACCACAGAGGGTTTTGAAGGGAGGCATCTGGTGACCTGACTTGAGTTGCACAGGAATGCTGGTGCTTCTGGAGAGTCCAGGGCAGGGCAGAGCTGGAGAGCTTGGCCAGGGAGCCGCTTCAGCATTCCAGGTGGAAGATGAGAGAGTTTGAGTGGGCGGGGGGAAGGAAGCGGTTGGATTTGGGCTCTAATGTTTTGTTTTATTTTTTTTTAAGTTTGTTTATTTTGAGAGAGAAAGAGGGAGAGAGAATCCTAAGCAGGCTCCGCGCTGTTAGCGCAGACCCCGACATGGGGCTCGGTCTCAAAAACCCTGAGATCATGACCCGAGCTGAGATTAAGAGTTGGATGTTTAACTGACTGAGCCAGCCAGGCGCCCCTGAGCTCTGCTGTATTTTGAAGATAGAATCCAATAGAATTTCCTACCATTGATTTTGGCATGCAAAAGAAAGAGGAGTCCAGGATAACAGTAAGCTTTTTGGCTGGAGCATCTGAAAAGGTGGGGTTGCCATTGACTGAAATGGGGAAGGCCATGGGAGGAGCACATTTGGGGAGCTTACGGGTTCATTTGGGGTGTATTAAGTTTTATGACGCCCTTAGATGTCCAGGTAGAGCCATGGAGTTGGCAGGAGTGAGTTTAAGGGAGAAGTTGGGGCAGGAGATGTTACCTCAGGAGTATAGAGATGTTTCTTCTACAAGCCATGAGGCTGGAGATCACCTGAGGTGGGGGGTGGGGGTAAGCATAGCCCAAAAAGGGAAGAGGGCTAGCATCTGATCCCAGGCTGCTCGGACACTGGGGATTTGAGAGGTGAAGAGGTGCTGGCCAAGGGAAGTAGCAACTCGTGAGGTAAGAGGAAAACCTGGCCGGGGGCTG